CTCATCAGCTTCTCTGAATAGATCGTGTTTCCATCTACTGTGGTTTTCCTTCTGCCTGAATTACTTCCATTATTTCTTTTTAACTGTGGCTCAGACGGCAATGAATTCTTTCAGGCAAATCTGAGACCCTTTATCCTTTGGTGTTTTGCAGGTTATAGAATTCTAGATGAAGATGTTGCTTTCCTATCTTCTGGTTGCAGTGTTTCCAACAATAAGTCTACTGTTATCTTCATTTCTGTATGTTCTTTTCTCTAGCTGTTTCATGTTTTGTTGTTATTTTCCTTTACCACTCATTTCAAGCAATATATGATGTGCCTTTCTGGTTGTCTTCAAGTTTCTTATGGCTGAGTTTCTTGAAATTCTTAGAAATTTTTATCAAATTTGGAAAAGAAATTTTAGCCATTACTCAATTTTTTTAGTCCTCTACCTTAGGGACTCTGATTTTTGTTCATTACAGAATTTTAGGTTGACAAAAGGTGTTTTTTTTTGTACCGGTGATCAAACTGGGGACCTTGCGCTTGCGAGGTAGGCTCATTTGAACCACTGAGCTCAATCCCCGGCCCCAGAGAATGCTTTTTAATCTCAAGCATTGTTATTTATCCTCTAGAGTTTTGTTTTAGGTCTTCTAAAAAAAATCTCATGTCTGTTTAACACGTCATTCCTCTAGTTCCTTGAACATGGAAGTTAACTTTTAATATCTTTGGCTACTAACTCAGTTATCTCTGTCATTTCTGGGTTGATTTTGACTGATTGCTTTTTCTACTATTCTTGGTCATATTTCCTTGCTGTTTTACTTTCCTGGTAGTTCTTACCATTTGTTTTACCTTGCTGGGTGCCGGAATTCTTTGTATTCCTATGTGCTTCTTTTCTGTTATGTTATTTGAATTAGTTTGGTCTTTTCAGGTTTTGGTTTTACCCTTTTTAGGCAAGTGTGGGGTGGTTTTTTCCCTACTACCAAGTGAAAAGCCTTTGGAATACTCTACCCAGCGTCCTCTGAATTGCCTGTCCTTGCTTCGGATGAGCTGTGTGCACTCAGGATTAGGAGCGTCCTTGTGTGTGGTTGCTTCCTGGCCGCGAGTCTTTCCCCACAGACAGGCGCTGCTCAGACTTGGTGAATCCCTGCGGGGTGCACCTGCACCCCTCCAGCCCTGAGGAGAGCGTCCTCGCCAGGCCTCTCCACAAGCCCTTCCTACCTGGCCTCCCTGCACTGGAGCCCCTCTGCACGGGGACCAGCCCTGCCCAGAACGACCCTTGAGTTGCTTCACTTTGTTTCCCGTCTCTCAGGGGTCGCCGTCCTTTTTGTTTCTGATGTCCAGCATCTTAAACACTGCTGTTTCATGTAGTCTGTCTAGTTACCTAGTTCGGATAGGAGAGTAACTGTCAGTATCTCCATTTTTGAAACTGAAAACTCTAGGTCTGAATGGCTTCAATTACACTGAGCTACTCATGGGCCCAAGGTTGGAATCATGGCTTGGTGGTTTATCCTATGTAACAATTTTCCCATGTAATTGAAATTTATTCCTTAAAACTTTATACCTTAATTTAAGCTTTTTTTGCTGATAAGTACTTATAAAATATGCCCTCGTCTTCTTGAATAGACTGAACATATTTAATCTTTTTCATTGCCAGTGTTACTGATGGTCTGCAGTGCTTATCAAACCTATCTGACCCAAATAATTCCTATTTTATAAAATATTTTTAATGCCTCTTTTATCCTGAAGAATGTCAGTCGTCAGGCCATGGTGCCTGCACATTTCTGTTCCACGTTCGGTGGGGCAAAGGAGTATCAGGGCGGCTGGTATATTCTCCCCGCCCCGGCTGAAAGCAGCCCTGCCCGGTCCTCCTACTCCTGTCAGCCGCTCCGCCCGCAGTGACGCCTCCTGGGCTTCACAGCCCCGCGCAGAGTTCAGGGTGCGTGCAGCGTAGCCGGGGCTTTTTCTCCCCTGGCGAGAGTGTAACCCTCTGAGAACGAGGGCCTCCAGCCCTGCAGAGCCCAGCGCCGTGAGGCCAGCAGCCACAAGTCCCCCAGTGGGTCAGCCCTGCTTCCACCCTTGGTTCCTGCACCGTGAGTTTTCACGTGGAGGACAGCATCACAAGGCCCCCTGGTCCAGTGACACCCCCTGTTCTGAAAGATGGCACTGCATCCCCTCAAGGGTCGCCTCTGAGCCGGAGGGTCTGCGCCTTCAAAGGCCGTCCCAGTATTCCGCCCGCTACTTGCTTTTCTTTTCATTAAGCTTATTGGTACATTTTAGGTATACAGTATGGTGGCATTCATCATTGGGAATCTGTACCTTTACATGCTATATCTTGGTTCTTATTTTCTCCCCATTCCCTGCCCTCCCTTCTACCCCTCCACCCCTCCCTATTTACAAAGGCTTTGTTTCCATTTTTTCCTTTTCTCATATTTTTTCCTTCCCTTTCTTTCCCCTACTCCTCCTACTTCCTTTCACGTTATATATTATACATTTTGATCCGTATTTACACTTCTAGTTTCTCACACCAGAGAAACTATTCGGTATTTACACACGTGTGTCCTATTCGTTTCCCTTCAGAGTATGGCCTCAGTGTGCATCCATTTAGCTATAAATGACTCTAGTTCTCATTCTTTTATTTGGTACCAGGGATCCAACTCGGGCCCTTGTGCTTGCGAGGCAGGCAGTGGAACCACTGAGCTAAATCCCCAGCCCTCTAGTTCTCATTCTTTATGGCTGAGTAGTACTCCATTTTATATTTAAAAAGACATCTTTATCCAATCTCCAGTTGATGCACAGTAGGGCTGTTTCCAAGTTTTAGCTATTACAAACTGTGCCGCTATAAACATGGGTGCACATATATCACTGTGGTATGATGCTTTTCTTGGGTCAAATGGGACCTCTAGCCCTAGTTCTTTGAGGTACCTCCATACTGATCTCCACAGTGGTCGCACCAGTCTGCACTCCCACCAACAATGGAGAAGGGTTCCTTTCTCCCCACACCCCCACCAGCATTTGTTACTGGTTGATTTCTTGATAGCAGCCATTCTTTGTGGGGTGAGGTGAAATCTCAGTGTTGTTTTCATCTGCATCTCTTGAATGACCAGTGATGTTGAACATTTTTTTCATATATTTATTTGCTGCCTTTACTTCTTTGAGAAATGTCTGTTCATTTCAGGTGCCCATTTATGAATTGGGTCTTTAAATGGGGGGGGGTCTGATTTTTTTCAGTTCTTTATATATTCTAGATAGTAGCCCTTTGTCTGAGGTACAGCTGGTAAAATTTTTTCCCACATTGTAGGTTGTCTCTTAGCTGTGCTGGTGGTTTCTCTTGCAGTGCAGAAGCTTTTTAATAAGATGAGATCCCAGTTGTTGATTCTTTGTGCTAGTTCCCATGCTACTGAGGTTTTGTTCATAAAGACTTTTCCTATGCCAATATCTTCAAGAGTTCTACCTAACTTATCTTCCTGCAAGTTTAGTGTTTCTGTTTTAATATTTAGATCTTTAATCCATTTTGATCTTCATTTAGTGCATAGTGATAGGTATGGGTCTAGTTTTAATCTTTGGCAGGTTGAAATCCAGTTTATCCAACATCATTTATTAAAGAGGCTATCTTTCCTCCAGTGAGGGTGTTTGGCTCCTTTGTCAAAGAGGAGGTGGCTGAGTATGTCTGGAGTTGTTTCTGCATCTTCTAATCTATTCCACTGATCCTCAGGTCTGTTTCTTTGCCAGTACCACGCTGTTTCATCACAGTTCGCCTGGCTACTTCTGGCTGCAGGAGGTAGTAACAGTGAGTGGGGTCACCCCATACTTTGCTATTAAAGTGGGTCCCCAGATTGGGTGCTACACTGTATGGGATTCTATACCTGTGGTTTGGGTATTCTATAAGAATAATGGTGCTGGCTGATACTTGGTGGAGAGGAAAGAAACTCACACCTAGAGTAACTACCCTCGTGAGGGACAAACCACGGGCCCAGGTGGCCAGTTGGGCTTTCAGGAGTCCATGACATGGGTTAAATATCGAGGGTGGCTGCAGGCTATCCGTCCAGGGGCAGCAGTAGCTGGACTGACCTCGGCACGTGGTGTGCAGTGTTTGTGACACTACCTCCGTGGTAGGAAGGTGCACACCTGCCTCTTCTACCCTCTGTGTCTGCTCTCTGCCTTTAGTGGGCCGAGCTCTTTGCACTGCATCGACTGGGGTCCCGGGACCTGGAGGTTTGGTTATAGGAGGCCCTGAGGGAGAAAGGGTGGGCGTCCATTCCTCCAGCGCCCTCACAAGCCGCGGTTTTGCAGAAGTGGGTCCTTAACCAGAAGTCACAGCTGCTGTGGAGCACACCTCCTCCCAGCTCCAAGCCCTCCCAGGGTTCCCAGGGCTGTCTGCCTCCCACTGTTCATAGCCCCGCGGCCCAATTCGCTCCAGTCCAGTCGGAAGAGTCTGTCAGGCCAGCCATCGCATCGCCGGGTCTGCGCCATCGGGACCCCAGCTGACAGAGGAAGCAGGGTGTTTCCTTTCCGGCCTGTTAAAGTGAGGTGCACACAATAAACACCTGGGTCTTAATGCACGTAACCCGTGTTAACTGACACCAGCTGTACTCCAGATAGCACTCTGTCCTGGGAGCTGACAGCAGGTCCGAGCCTTCAGCGCAGGGCCGCGCCGCGGTGATCCCGTGGACGGGCAGTCGAGGCCTTTCCGAGCCGGGCTGGGAGGGAGGCAGGGAGGCAGCAGGGGGCGCGGCGCGGGCGGTGAACGCGCTCGCGGGTGCAGAAGCTCAGGGACGGGACGGGCGTAACCTGCAACTGGGCCTGGCCTCATCGAGGGGCGGACAGGACGCCGCCGGGTTTGCCCAGTCCGCGCTTCCCAGGGATCGCTTGCGGCTGTCAAAGCGCCGGCCTTGAACCCCGTTTACCGAGGCCACAGCTGAGCAGAGCCGGGGGCAGGGAGGTGCGGGCCGAGGCCGCGCTGCCTGCGCTCCCGGCACAGGGATCCGGCGAGCAGCGCGGCTCTGCAGGGCGGGGAGCGGTGCCGCGATGCTTTTCCCGACGCCGCCTGTGGGCCGCCCGGTCCGCAGCGCGAGCTGGGGTCGGTTGCTGTTCCCTGGACGCGCGCTAGGCCCATTCCAGGGTGAGACCCACGGAGGCCGGCGGTGCTCCGCCCTCTCTCTGCGGCAGGCCCCGCTGTCTCCCCGGCGCGGGCCGCGCCCGGCCAGGAGGACGCGCAGCTCGCCTGTCAGGTGAGCGAGGCCCGCCTGGCACCGGCTCCGGCCAGGCCGATTCCACGTGGGCACCGTCGCGGCCCGCAGCCCTCTCCGCGTCCTTCCCGCGCGTCAGTATCGGTCTCCCAGCCGTCCCTGGGTCGGGGGCGCTCGGCATCCGCGTAGCGACCCGCAGGGAATTTGGGCTCTGCGAGGTCCGTGGGGCTCCGCTCTGTCTACCCGCGCGGGGCGGAAGGCTCGCTCTCGGCCGCCAGGCGGCGCTGCGCGCCCACCGAGGCCGGACCGCTTTGCCCGGCGCACGAGGCGCCGAACTTCTGCTGCGGTGAGCGCCGAAGTGGAGCCCCGCGTCTGCGCACGGCCCCGGCCCGAAAGCGCCCCGCCGCGGCGGCTCTCGGGCACCTCCCGCCCGCGCGCCCCTCCCCGGGGTGGGCCTCGCGTCCGCTCGGGCGGAGCCAGCGGCTCAGAGGAAACCGCCCGTCCGCGGTGGCCCGAGCAGCTGCCGGCGAGGGGCGTGCGCTGCTGCCTCCGCGCCTCGGAGGCCCGCACGGCAGAGCCATGGGTCCCGGCGAGCGCCCCGGCCCCAGCCCGGCGCGGAGCAGCGGCCCCGCGGGCCCCGCGAGCACGGCCGGCCGGGCGGCGAGCGCGCTGTGCCTGCTGCTCTCCGTGGGCTCGGCCGCCGCCTGCCTGCTGCTCGGCGCGCAGGGAGCCGCGCTGAGGGCGCGGGTGGCGGCGCTGGAGGACGAGCGGGAGCTGCTGCGGCGAGGGGCGCTGGCCGCCTGGGCCGGGCCGCACCTGGAGCGCCTGCTGCGGGAGGTGAGCGCGGGCAGAGGGCCTGGCCGGGCCGGGGTCTGGCGCTTCGGTTCTCCGCTGCGGTCCACCTGAGGCAGCCGGCGGCCCCGGGAGGGGACCCCACAGCCGGCCGGACGGAGGGCTCTGCGGGGGCGCTGAGACCGGGCCCCGCCGCACCCTGCGAGCCGCCCGAGGGGTGCCCAGTGCACCCGGAGAAACCCGCGCCGGGCCCTGGGTTCGGAGTCCGCGATGCCGTCGGACAGCGAGGCGCGGTTTATCCCGAGTTGCGTCCTTGGGTCGGGGAATCGCGCGCTCCGGAGCGCGCGCCTTCCACGCATCGTGGGAGATGGCAGCTGCGCCCTCAGCGAACCCCGGGGTCGCAAGGCCTTCACCCCGCAGCCCGCAGGCCGGAGCCTCCGCCTCTCAGAGCTGCGCCCCCGAGCCCGGGGCGTCCTCGGCGCGGGCCCGGCAGAGCTTCCGCCGGAGGTGCGGAGGGCGGCGCGGTGCCGCCGGCCCCACCGCCCAGACCCTCATTCATGCCCCGAGCTGCGAAGGGGGGTGACCCTCGGTGAATTAACTGGGAACCTTGAGGGCCCTGGGAGCAGACAGGCCACGCTCCTGTTGCCCTCGCCAGCTTAGCGAGTTTAAGCCGGCGTTGCACCTCTCCATGGTTCTGGGCGAAACCGCTGCTTCGGGAAATGATTTCCTTTCTGGAAATCTTGGGGAGAGCCCGAAGACTGCAGAAACCTCCGATCCCTGTGCAGCTCTTGGCGAGTTTCCTGACGGCTGCCCTCATCCTTTGGCCCTGATCCCCGGAGACCGGGGTGCTGAGCTGATTTATGGGCCCGTAAAGTTCCTACCTGTGAGCGCCGCAGCTGCCACTGTTCTCTAGCGGGAGGCGCTCTGGCTTAGTGAAAATAAACCGCAAGCTCTGGGGGAGTAAATCAGAAGTCCTGGTGAGACCTTTTTACAAGGAGCTCACAAATGTGTCTCTGCTGACGGGGAAGGGGCCTCGGGAGGGGTCACTGCTGGGAGGCGTTGATTCCTTGGTCTTGAACTTCAGCGGAGAGGCTGTAGTTGCTGCCCCGCGCCTCTGCGGCGTCGCATCCGGTGCTGAACTGTGGTTTTGGGGTAGCGGACCGAGTGTGGGGGACAGAGACCCATTCTCCCTCCGCTCTTCTTCCTTCTTAGCTCTCCTCCTCGCTCTCCTCCTCCTCTCCCCGCCCCTCCCCCCTCTCCCTCGTGCTTAGAAAGGCAAAGTGAGCGGTTCCCAGCTGAGATTCCCACTGCAGAAGGTGCTGCGCCCCTCAACACGTTGCACTGCTGGCGAAGCAGAGTTCCCGTCCGAGGGACAGGTTGTGCTTGGCCTGAACCGGCCCATTTCCCCTTGAGGCGCAGAGGCAGAGAGGGCCCATGTGAACGGGTGGGCTTGCGGATCCCTCTCCCAGGGCACCATTCACTTCCTGCTCAGCTATTCTTCTTGCAGCTGTCGCTGGATGGGAAACGTACACGGCGTGGTGACAGTGAGTTCGCTGGCAGAGAGGGGGCCACGTGGGAGGTGCATTGTGGGGAGTCAGGAACTGGCTTCACGTGGATGCGGAGCTGCGTTTTCAAACCACTAGATACAAAGGGGAAATACGGAACTGAAAAATCTCCTTCGGAAAGAGCACTTGTACGTGAGCACGTTTTCCAGTTCAGATTTGTTCGCAGTTTGCCTCTCTTCACTTCTGCGTGCGCAGGCGGCTGCTACTTGTGCTTTGACCAACAAACTGGTTTTCAGAGTATCAGAGGCAGACACCGTGTCCGAACTAAAGAAAGGAAACCCTTGCCAACTACACACAACTGTAATGTCAGAAAAAACTAAGTCAACCAAAGCCAGTGTTAGTCGGGGACCCACTCCCCCGTCCCCTTGGGAACAGAAGGAGGACATACATTTTTCTGGGTCCAGCTGATGTGCCTGATAATGGAGATACAGAAGCCACAAAGAAGGAATATTCATGTTATCTCATAATTATTAAAGGCCTTTCCCATGGTACAGAGGGAAGAAATAGCTTTAGAAAATGAAAACAAGATTTCTGGGCAAGGGCCATTAATGACAATATCTTCAGTATGATCTGAAAATATTCATGCACAACAGACATCTGATAGTTTCCTTCTGAAAGCGCCTTAAGTAAATTGCCTAATTAATCAACCCCTCTCTAGTTATACCTCTGTTACAATGTTGCAAAAGCTTAGATTTTTAGAGTGCATAGCTTTAGTGTTGCAGTAAAAAATTTAACGCAAGGATTAAAGAAATATTTAATTGTATTTAGAGGAGACCATTTCCAGCTTACAATGGATTTCTTGTTGGCTGTTGGCCTTTCATTGTCCAGGCCAATTTGTTCGAAAACGAGAAAAATAAAATTCAAGCATTTGACTCAGGATAAAAGTCAAGCGTTTGACTTCCTGCGGAGTTACTGTCAAACCCAGGATCAAATATAGCTTTTTTCAGCCTCTAAACTAGTCTGTCTACTTGTCAGGACTGCGCTTTGTGTCCATTTTAATAAAGATACCTATTTTTCAATCCCGTGCATGACCAGCATTGGAGTGTACATCATGGCTACATTTGGTTTCTTGACAATTCCTGGCTCCCAAGCTAAAAAAAAAAAAAAAAAAAAAACAAGAACAATTTCCTTCCAATTACTTTCTGGGATGCTTACTTTCCCTACTTTTTTCTTGCCTTAAAAAAAAAAACCCACATAGCAGTTTGGGAGAGCTTTATGATAATAGCAGCATGTTTAGAACAACTGCTCTGGTTTAGAACCAGCAGACTGAGTGTTGGTTCAGAGCATCTGTTTCCAAGCTGCTTTGGGGATTGCTGAGGTGGACATTTCCACGTTGGCCTGGACGATGGCAGATGCGGCTCCTCATCGGCTGTGGAGAGTTGGACACCTGGTCCTGCTGTTTACCAGCCATCATCCAAGCTTCATCTTCCTGCTGCTTTCCTCTGTGGTTTGAATTTGTCCCACGAGGGTCTGTGAGAGGGAGCCTTGGTTGCTGGGATAATGGCGTTGAGAGGTGCTGGGCCCTTTAAGAGGTCAGGCCTACTGAGAGGTCCTTAGGTCACTTGAGGGCTTCGGGATCCTGGTCCTGCTCTGGCTTCCTGTCTGGCAGTGTCATCTCTCTGTCACTTGTTCCCACCATGATGCCCTCTGGCCTTAGGTCCTAACCAGAAGCCAAAACAGTGGAGCCACCCAGTCTTGGACTTTGAGCCTCCAAAGCTGAGCTAAATAAGGTTTTCTTTGTAAAGTATCTTGCCTCGGATATGTTATATAGTAACAGAAAACTGACGCATCCGGCCCGTAAATATGCTTTCGGTAGCTGTGATGGGTGCCTGTGGGTGGTTGCTTAAATGTTGACAGTCACTGAGTAATCGTCATAGAAAGAAAAGCCTGGAAGACAGACAGGACCGGGCTACGTCCGTGGCTTGGCCCCACCGAGGTGCCAGACCGTGCCTGCCTGGCTGCTTCTTCATGCTGCTGCTGAAGTGCCACACAGCTTCACACAGGAATACCCAGGGAGCAGGAAAAAGAGCTGTCTTCATGAGAGCCCGTCCTCTTGTTTAAATCACTAGGGAAGCTCTTGCAGCGTCTTTCAGCAGAACTTCCTTTTAGCCTCCTCCTGATTAGCTCCCGTGGTCGCCGTCACCTCTCACTGGCAAGGCCGATGCCCACCAGGTGGCTTTGGCCAATCTCGATTCCTCCCCTGAGGCTGGGCACGTTGCCACTGGAATAGAACTGAGGCTTTGTTGGGGAAGAAAGCTGGGGATGGCTATGGGGGAGCCATGGGTAGTGTCAGCCCGGTGCCATAGAAAGTTACTCCTGTCGCCGCGGGAGGGGGAGTGGGCGTAGCCACCTGCTGCCCTGTGGCGGTTTCAACACCGTCTCCCCAGGTTGCTGTTTCCAAGCCCGCACTTTGGGAATACTCCCCGGCCCTAAAGTCGCTGCCTTTCTTGGAACCGCGATCCATGTCCAGCTCTGAAGGGAAAGTTGGTGCGTTTGGGGAGGTCTCTGGCACAGTCCTCTTCTTTGCAATTGTGTTAGGCTGTTTCCTGTTACTATAACACAACATCTGCGGCTGGGTCGCTTGTAAACACAAGAGGCTTATTTAGCTCACAGCTCTGGAAAGTCCAAATAGCATGGCACAGGCTCTGCTAAGGGCTCCTGGGCATCATGACAGATGGCTTCATAGTGTCAGATGCCTCCAACAGGAAGAGACCAGTGGTGAGACAGGAAACCAAAGCAGAGGGCGCTTATAACCGTCCTCTCTGGAGAACTAACTCAGAGGTCCTGAGAGTTACCTCAGTCCCCTCCACAACTTAAGGACCTCCCATGAGGCCCTACCTCTGGAGGGTGGTTAACATCACCACGGAACGGGGCAAGCTGCTGATACTCGTGCCTCTGGGGACAAACCACAGCACTCGGCAGTTTCTGGTCTTTAACCCTCGAGTGGATGCTATTATGATCCCAAAATAACTGGCTGCAGTGCCCCCATTCTACCCCGAGATAGGCAGCGACTTGCTCAGGGCACACAGCGCCGGCCTGAACTCCCTCAGGGCTCCCAGGGTGCCTTGGAAGAGAGCAGGAGAGGGCAAGCACTCTCACAGTGTGGCTTTGTGTGGGCCTCATGTTCAGCCTGGGCAGTGTGCACGTACCTACCCCACGGCTGCGAGGCCCCAGCTGGTTGTCTGACCCTCAGTTCTCCGGATGTGAGATAGGGCTTGTATTCAGTCTTGTCCAGGGCCACCATGACACAAGATAGAAACAAAGGACTGGGTGGAATAATTGCTGCAGAAAAACATGATTCTGTGACACTTGCTAAACAGGAAAAATGAATCAATAAGACTTGTTAAAGCACGGCAAGGCTGACTTGATTCAGGGCCATGATGATAGGGCAGGGACCACAACAGTACGAATTTGTGGTGGGAGAGAGACTAGCCAGGCTCAGTTCTGAACGTAGTGTGGACAAGGAGGAGTTGATAGCCA